GGTTGCACAGCCTGGTCCCCTCTGAGAGGTTCATGGAGCTGAAGAGGTTTAATGGTGAAGAGAGAGATGCCTCCTCCTCAGAGGATCTGGACAAGGGAGGGACTCACTCTTTGTCTTTCTTCCCAATGTAGGGAGCATCAAGGACTGGTAGGTGAGTGTCCCCGGTGGGAGCTCTATTGGGGGGAAGGAGGAAGGGAGGTGAGGGCTTTCAGGTCAAAGGAACCATTGATGGTGAAGATCCTTTGGGAAAACCCTCTTCTGTCTCAGCTCATCCCAAATGCTGAAGGGTGAGGAATTTGGGGGAGAGGTGGTGGGGCTGTGGGGAAGGGTCAGCCTCTCCCTCTCCTCCCTGGGTTCCTTCTGGTGGAGGAGGCTGGACTGCTTCCACTTTCCCTCCCTGACTTCGGAGGAAATGGAAGGTGACAGCAGCCAGGAACAGAAGGGGACTGGCCGCTTCTTGTTGCTCCGCCTCATCTCCAGGAAGGGCCCTTCCCAAAGCAGGTGGTGGGGTTGGCCATTCTGCAGGGCCCAGACTCTGCTCCCCCCCCCAAGGATCTTGCATGGACAAAGGTCAGAGACCTGCAGAGATCAGAGTGTCCCCAGTGCAAGGGGGCAGCAGGGGGACTTCCTGAATGTCCTACGATCATGGATGGAGAGGAGGCTTCTCTCCACTCCTTGCGTCCATCTGAGAATCCAACCCTCCAGATGCTGACAGAAGACCTGGGCTCTCCGGAGGTCATGAAACCTGTTGCACTTGGTTCCAAGGGCAAAACTGGGTGAGAATTGGCTTTGTATATTTGAGCAGGGAGGGCATCTATACTTTTTATAATTTGTGAGGGAGGTTCCCCACGCCACTCCAGCAGCCCTGCCCATCCCCTCTTGTAACTCGGAAATCCCACCCAGCTGATTCTTCTCCATCTCCATCTCCCTCTCTTGAGGCTTGTGATTCTGTTCCTTCGCTTGATGATCAGCACTAGTCCTCCAGCCTGGACCCTGAACTTTCTCATCTTGGCTTCCTCTCAAGCTAACCCTCCTGTTTTTTCCACCCTCTTTGTAGCACAACTATGGGGCTGCAGACTCCCCACGTAAGGAGAGAGGAAAGAAGAGTGATCAATCTTCTGCAGAATTACGCTGTTCTCTTAGGAGGACCTCTTCAGGCCCTTTGTTTAAAAACCCCTTTGTTTCCACAAGGTACCCATAGCATGGCAAATGTCAAAGGCATACAGTATTTGGAGTCTGTGTAAATATTGACATGTTGAGCATTTGCGGGATGACAAGCTTCTGTCTTGGACAAAAGACAAATCTTTTATGGACAAATCACAATACC